AAGAGCTCTCGAGTAGAATTTTTTTTTATTAAATTCATGTCAGTGATAGTGTAACAAGATAAATGTCAAGTTCACTTTTTTCCAGTTTTCTGGTTTATTTTATAATTTATACCAGTTACTAGCTTGGCATTTATGTAATTTTGAGCAAATATCAGTAGTAGATTTATTTCTTCCAATCTATATAATGAATTATTTACAAGATCTTTAGAGGCAATCTGGTTTTAATTTCACTGTGTGAACAAACAGCCATTCCTCTTGAGTTATATCAAAGCATAATTTTACAGTGTTTAATCTCATGAAAGTACTCGTTTCAGTTGAAATTAGTTTGATGTCACACTTGTGTTGTTCTCTGTTCTTGCCATCTAGGATCCTAGATTTTAAAAATCTCGTCGTTGCCTTGTAACAATGTTGTATTTGTTTACATCAAGCTTCGGGCTATATTTGATTCTTTTGACAAAATTCAATAAGTGGAGATATATTTGTGATGGTACAGTTTAATATAGGAATATAACAAGCGATTATAATTGATCGTGGTAAGAAACTATGACATTAGTCACTTCGAGCATCTATCATTTGGTAGGATGTCATCTCGGTCATCTGAGAGAGTTATGATCTGTCCATACAGTTAAGGATTTATCATCACTCAAAGAAATTGGATATCTGTGACAGTTGCTTGTTGTTATAAAGAATAATTTGTGTAATATTTTGTTACAAACATTTTTGTGACAAAATGGAAAAAAATATTAAAAAGTAAGATATAGCTTTTAAATTTTTTTATGCATCAAGAACAATACGAAGTTATTTGATTTTTAGATTTTTTTTGCAATTTATTTTTTGTGCTGTTTGGTTGGTTTTTTTTTTACTGTTTACAATACAGAGCAAAATAATTTTGTAGTAAAATTCAATAAACTCCTCTATTTGAAATAGAGGAGTTTATTGAATCTGTTATACAATCATCTCTATTCTTTAATACGATAAATAAAAGAAATTGTTTTGTCATTGTTTCATAGTATACTTTATATTCTGTAACTACAGGCTGTGCTAATCAATACTTGTCTTTCTTATTAAGGCCAGGAACATACATGTGTAAAATTTGGCGTAAAATCTAGCATAAAACAGAAAGCTTAAAAATTTTTCTGAAATTTTGACTGAAACATAACTGAAAAAAGAGTAGAGCATGTCTTTACTTTTTATGCCAAAATTCCTCCAATAAAGAGAAGTCTTTTCTGTGACGTCAAAGTAGACACACTGTTTTTATTCTAACAATGGCGGCAGTGAGGGTTAACCCTACAATTGTGACGATCTCAAAAAACGAAAAATAAATGAAATAGAGGAGTTTATTGAATCCATTTGACCACATCAGTGTCATGTATAAAGGCACTGTATTTAAACAACGTTTATGGATGGCTATAGGTGGTAAATTTCAAATAACAGGTAGGTCTAGTAGAATTGATATATAAGCCTAGTATTTAGATCACACGTTCTTTATTTGAATTCGGAATACAAGTCTATTAATTTAAATTTTCTATATTATAGCAGAGGAAGCGGAGCAAAAATGGAAGGTACAAAGCAATAGATATATGAGAGAAAAAAATTAATAAAATGTAGCACTGTTAGTGGCAGTGGAAATGCCACTGCCACTAACAGTGCTACACACATACGTAAAAATTCGGCCAGAATTTTTACTTGTGTGTGTTCTGGCATAAAAGCGTAAAACAGAAGCTGAACTGAAAGCTGGTTTCTGAGTCAGTTTTCTGCCACACAATTTTACGCATTTGTGTTTCTGGCCTAAGCCTTTGTACTGAAATCTGCCAGCATTAATTAATTAGCTAATGTATATTGAAATGCAGTGTGATATATCTACAGTAAGTTTTATTTACTAAAAAAATATTCTATCTATTCTCAACAAATTGTTTTAAATGCAGAGAAGTTGAAAGAGAGTGTTTTTCTATTTCAAATACAGTAGTTAGCTTTTAGCAATTGTGTAAAGTTTGGTTAGGAATTTAATAGTAACTTTTGTATAATTTTAAAATAGATTCCCCATTTTTTTCATTAAAATTCTGTTTCATAAACAAAAAAAAAACGATTTAAAGCATAATTATGTGTGTTTAATTTGAAGTTTATTTGATCAGTTTTCATATGTTGTTAATTAAATAAGTTAATAAGATAATTGATGGTTAAGAAATCCTTTCATTGCATTTCAAGGATCAGTTGTATACTTGAAAAACGGGACAAGGTAAACTGTTGATATATATTATCAAGGTGGTTAGGTGTGACATCATTTAGAAGATATTATACCCAGAATGTATTCTATAATTTTTTGAATTTACTATTTAGATTAAAACTTTAATATTATTATAACATTATGATAAATTCATTCCTTACTTACCTGCATTTGTCAATTTGATTCATTGATTTCAAAGTGCGTGTTAAGCTTATTTTTGTAATTTAAATTTGACAGGGTTTAAATAATTGATTAAATTCAGTTTAATAAATTATTTCAACCCAGTTCTTGAACAGAATCTTTCTACAAAGGTTCTTCTATTCAAATATTGGTGTGTCCTTGTCTCGTTTTATCTTCTAGTGAGTGGAATGATGGTGTTTGCTGGATATTTAACTCAAATTAAATTTTTTTACAGTTTGTAAGTTTTTTAGTCAAGTTCTACACTATAGATTTTTTAAGGGTTTGTTTCAAAACACTCAAATATATTCTAAAGCAAAATTATTCTTGGTTCCCCGGTGGTGACCTGGGAACCAAGAATAATTTTACTTTAGAAGAATCTATTGAATCCTTCGTATTTATAAAGGTTTATATAATAGTTAAGTTTAACTAAAAAAATTAATTTATTAAAAAGTTTTTGATCTGGAATTAACAAAGAATTATTAATTCAGCATTTATGTCATTGTTGTTTTTATATGTACAGTACTTATTTAAACACCTGCTTACAATCATGTTAGAACTTTGTGTTGTATGTTTGTTTTGTAGCCTGTAGAAGCCTATTACTTGCACATGAGATGTTCTTTCAGTTTACAATTGGTTGAGTAATGGTGTGTTAATATCTGACTTGCAATGAGCTTGAAAGATTAGTGAATTAAGATTTTGAGATGTTTTTTTCTGATGAAGTATCATATGACAAAGGTGCATTATTCGAAGACAGTATAAAATCGAAGATTACGAATCATTCAGCATATTGTTGCACACTGACAGTGAAGTATGCAACAATATGCCATTCATGTAATCAAAATAATTAAGTTCATCTATTAGTTGAAAACAATCCTTTTGCATGTGTTTTTATTTTATAAGTATTTTGTTACAAATATATTTTTTTCCTAGTAAAAAACATCTTTCTTGCATATCATTAAATATTAAATGTGCTTAAAGCTAATTATATCTTATTGTAAATGCAAATGAGTGTAGTGAAACCTAATTTTAAATGTAAATTTTGATACACGGTTGGCTAAGCGACGACAATAGATGACATACCTTGGCCATTCGTGTTTCAAAATTTTACCTGTTGGAAGGTTGAATTCTAGCTGACAATCTACTTAGAGGGCAATACACATACTTTCTCATTTTAGATGCTGCACCCATGACCACCTTTGGTGGTCCCTGACATGTCACTTTGTGATACTCTCGAGTGTTGCAATTTATAATTCTTTTAAGCAATATCAGGAGTTACAGCAGTGATTTCCTGCCAAGTAAAAAAAGTCACTGACTGACTATATATATATATACAGGAATCAGCTATGCCAATTTTCAGGGGTTTATTTCTTTGCTCCCCAAACACCTGAAGTAATTTTGAATATCTTGTTAAAAAAATTGTTTTCTTAGGAAGTGTGCAAAATTTCAAGATTTTGTATAAAGTGGTTACTGAAATATAAGCAATTGAAAAGTGCAAAAATCATCAAAAAAAAGCTATATTTTCTTCTTTTTCTCCATCACTGCAGATGCATGTAGAGAAAAACTATTGGGTCTAGAAACCTCAAATTTTAAACTTAAGTCTTTCTCATTATTGGTGATGTGCTCTTGAAACTTCTGGATCGATAGGTCAAAGTTCACTGGGGTTTTCCCATACAACTGGTTCTGTTTTATGGCTTAATTTTATGCTTATAAGGATAAAATTGCATGGAAACAAATGAATTTTATTCAAAATGTTACTCAGAATTACAAAAGCTCAAATTTATGTAAATTAAAGCTATTTATAACAATTTTTCTAAATGGCATATTAAGATTGTCTGTCTCTGCCAATCGAAATAAATATTGAAAGCATTCAGTTGGCAATGAATTTGGTCAATGGAGCATTGGTTGGTGCTAGACAACTGCCAACTGAATGCATCTTTGACATAATAATAGTTATTAAGCAAAACAATTGATATCCAAACAAAAACATCTGATATGTAAAAATATTTTGCCAAGTTATTTATGACAATTTAGATGACAGTCAAAATTTTTCTTAGGAGTTTTTACTTTGGTAAAGATAAGCTTGGTGCTTAGAGGCAAAATGTAGAAAACAATAATACAGTACAGGTAAAAATCTTGTGGGTACTGCTTCCAAGTGCCAAGCTTATCGTTATCAAAGAAAAACTCCCAAGAAAAATTTTGACTGTCTAAATTGTCATAAATTTTTACTTGGCAAAATTTTTTACATCTCAGATGTTTTTGTTTGGATTAATTATGTGTATATAAACAAAAATAATTTGCCATTAAAGGTGATAATTATTATTAATTAAATATATCATTTAAAATTAATAAATAATAATTGATGGTTAGATCAAATGAAAATAATGATGATTAAAATAATGCAAAGCAAATAAAAAAAAAAAGAAAAGTTAAAAATAGGCAGCTGCTTAATCATCCAGCAGATGTTGTAATGCTCTGACACATTGAAGGTTGAACTTTGTCTCATAGGGTTTAAAATATCTGACTTTTTAGACTAAAATTTCAGATTTATCAGGTAATATACTCAATACCCTTTTTCAATGTGTTATTTCATTTTCTGTAAGAGGTCTGCTTGTAATTGAATGTTTTATGTCAATAATTTAAATATTTTTTAATTCTAATATTAGGAGAAAACATTAGACAGTTTCTAGTTTTTTTCTATTCAAAAGTCATCTCTATGCCATGAAATCTTCTAGTATTAACAACAACTCTTTCAAACTATTCATGTATTCAAGTTTCTTTACATATTTTGAGTTTTCTCCTATTGCTTTACCTGTAATCTTAGCTTTATTCCATTCTATTCTCATGTATTCCATTGCTTTATCCAATTTCTTAACTTTAAACGATCAAACAAGCTGTTGTTTTTGAAAATGGTATATGTCCATTTTTAATCTAAAAAATAATAATTAAAATGAAAACATGTAAGTAAACAAATAAGTGACATTATTAATAAATATTTTCAGTTTAGTAAGAATTTATAAGTAAATAACTATGAAAAGTAAATTACTTTAAAATAACTATGAAATACAAATACATTTATTATTATATCTTGTTTTTCTTTTACTCTTAGTGTAGTGAAGTATTTATGGTGAATAGGAGGTATGTGAGGCAGTAAACTCATGATATCATTATATTTCTCTCTTGTTATATGTCTTGAAGTCATGTAGAGTGGTAATTTTGCTAGAATTTTTAGGTCTTCCTCATTTTCCAAATGAAAATCAAGTACTTTAATTTGTGCATTTTCTTCCATAGATGTTTTGTAGAAAATGTAAGGTTTAAACCTTACCCTTTTAAACCTCATCTGGCATATCTGTGGCCAGTTTACAATTTCCCCGTCTATATTTTTTCTTTTGATATTGCTTCTAGAAATTTGAGATGAAATCTTTTTGCTTCATATAAAAGGAAGTCATTTTTCTTCTGGAAATTCTTTATTACATTATAATACAGTAGTCTTGAGCAGTATATAAAATATTATAATGGTCTTAAAGCTTGCAAAAGAAATCTAAGTGGAATGAGGAAAAGGACTTCTTTTCACTTTGTCTGAGCAATAACACATTTATCTTGTTTATGGTGTTGCGTTCTTAAGACGTTAGCTATTAGCCATTATAAAGACTTTAAGGAAAGTTGTTTCAATTATTATTATTAATGGATTTATTCCACTTAAAAAAAAATTCTTGTGATATCATTTTACAGTTAAACTTCTTTTGATTAATTTATGAGGATATTTTATACTATTGACTTTGTTTGTTGTTATATGCCTCACTAAAACTATTAATGCATTTTTTTTCCAAAAGTGGACTTAAACCATTTTCAAAAAAAGACTCATATAATTCCTTTTGTAAACAGTACAAATGAAAGATAAGTAGAAAAGATTGGTTTTTAGATGACTTTTTATTTGATAGAATATGTAGAATATACTATTAAATAATTGCAGACTATTGGATAATAGAATATATTATATTATAACCATAAAATATTTGGATAGTAGGCACCCTACCCCCAAAGAGTATTAAACTATTGATTTGCTTTGAATTGGAAAGCATATGAAAATAAATATAATAAACTTCCCAAAGCCCAATGTACCCGATTAATTAGGGCAATCATTTAGTTTAGCAGCATATGAAAATGTTTTGCTTTTTTTTAAGTTAAAATTATGTATATTTTTTATTTTATTTATAAACCTTTATTTTTTTGATCCAAGAAAGCAGGTGTTTTTACACTTCAGAATGTTGATGAGTATTTCCAAATGAGAATTTAGTTTGTAAATGTCTAATTTTATTAACGTTTTTTTTAATGCAGATGTACAGGTGGCCTCATTTAAGCATTAATATCTTAGCACTGTAATTTTATAAGTATAATTGGCCTGGCATAAAAATCCCACAGAAAATTGCCTGAACAAAAATAAATTGCACAACCTGCACATCCATATATTCCACACCTTCAAAGTTACTGTTGAAAACACATTATTTTACCCACATGCAATTTAGAATATATCATCCAGAACATTGTTTTTTCCCATTAGCAATTCATTGTAAATGTAATTATAAAATGTGTAAAACAAAGAACAGAAGCATTTAAACTGCAGTATCAAAAATACAGAATGGTATCAAATGAGAGAACTAATCATTTTGTTCATTTTAATTTTTATCAAATAATTTTAGCAATATTACTATTATCTCAAATCTCTTTTCAGTTTGTTTATATGTTGATTTCTATAGCAGGTGATAAAACAAATCAGGGATGGCAATGTGGGCAGTTTTGCTTTTGGCAGGAATGATTGCATTGACAGATATAAAGTAAATAAACAGTAAATAAAATAACTTTTGTTAACATCATTGTTACCAATTTTATGGTATCAAATAAGAATGCTATAGGCACGAGAGTTGATTACTTAGCATTTATTTGCCGTGGGGAACTAAAATGCTAAAATCAACAAGTTCTATTTATATTTTTTTGTGAAAGTTATCAAACATGATAGGAACAGAATTTTTAGTGAATTTTATACATAAGAAAGTGCTATTCTTCTTAGTGTGTTGGATTATTTAATGTAAGTTGAACAGTTCAAATATTTGAATGGCTTTTGAGTGCCAGTACGTTGCATTGTTCAAGTTAAAACTGTTATGTAGGAGAGATGATTAATTCTCTAAAACCCTTTTATCTTGATGATATAAATAGGACTCCTTTAACTTAGCATTTTGAATAATTTAACATTGTCTACACATAGTCTAGATGTGTAGAGAAGAAGAATGTTCAGTTAAAATTTTAATGAAGATTGTGAATATTTATAGTTTTATACTTACAAGTTTTTTACAAAGTTACTTATAGTAAAACAGAATTACTTGAAGTTTTACTTCAAAAGTGCATTTTGAGATAACTTAAAATGTTTTTACCTCAACTTAAAACAACAAAAAAGTTGTTCGTTTTTGTTTTGTTACACATTTTATGAACAAGGTAGATGTAAAATTAACAATTTAATATTAATTATATTAATTATTAAATGCTGATATTAGAGTATATATTAAAAATTTTGGTGTCTACAGCCTGTAACTGTTTGACTATAGTCTGTAATATTTTATGCATAAGTTCTTGAGTGATATACAGTAAATATTTATGAAACATTTTTTAAATAAATTCATCCTTTGCTTTTAAATGAATATTGAATCAGAATAATCTAAAGATTTGTCTTAATAATGTGGAACTATAAGACAACTTTGATTTAGTTGTTAAGAAAGGGAAGCTAAATTCTCAATGATTATGTTAGTCTCTTAGTGTATTGTTAAAATTATCATTAAAAAAAAATACTTTGAATTTTTATCTTCTAATATGATTACGCATTTAAATTTAGCTCATATGCCGGTTTATGCAACCAAATGACCACACTGCTAGAAATGCAATAATTTGTTTCCACATGGGTAAATTACATTATAACAATTGCCTAAAAATTTAGATAATATTTTTTTCTACGTGTAAACTGTTTTTATCGTCAGAATCATTTAAGTTTTACTATAAAAAAAGTTTTAATTACACACACAAATCTCTACCGGTTTGCAAAACAATAGTTCTACTAAGTAATTATGTAAGTATTGTATTGAGAAAGTGTTGTTGAAAATTCAAAGGTTGTTTTATTAAACATAAATAGAATGTAGCGAAATTAGAATACATTGTATCTATCAATATTTCTAGACATATAAAATTTTCTGTGTGTTAAATTTAAAATTATTGCATTTTTCAGATCCACAATTAACAAGTTCTCAGAACTTTCAATAATTTTGCATGGAGCGAGACACAAATCAAATGTCACAAAGTTCTTCTCTGTGTCGATCGGGCTGCGGCTTCTACGGTAGTCCGGCTACCGACGGACTGTGTTCGAAATGTTACAAGGACGCTTTGAAAAGAAAACAGTTGACACCTCCTCCAAATGTAACAGGTTGAGAATGTATTTTTCGACTATATTAATTTACTGTATTAATATCTGCATTTAAATAGCAGAAAATGTCTAACAGTGTGTAACATTAATTATTTAACTTATAGCAGGCGAGTCCTTGTTGAGTACAGCCATACCTACCGTTCTTGCACCTTCCAGTTCGGAACCAACTAAAAATGACGTATGTTGGGAATTTGAAATTCGTATCTTTCTATAGTTTTTCTACCATGTTTATCTATGTTTATTTAAATTAGAATATGCAAGGTGATGATGCAAAGCAGGAAGCATCGACTAGCGGAACAAGTGCGACAGGCGGAACAGAAGAAACAGAAAAGGCCAGTTTGGATCAGGCGGCTAGTCAAGAAGAAACTGCCCAACAGAAAGATTCAAAGAAAACAAAAAATAAATGCTTTGTGTGCCGTAGAAAAGTTGGTTTAACAGGTACATACTTTTTATAATAATAATTTAAAACTATGAAGTAAATTCGTATAATTAAAAAAAACAAAAACAAAAATGAGAGAGATTGAGTGATGGTTCATTTAAAATTAAAGGTAAAGACAGCATTAAATATGTGATAAGACATTAATAACAGCATTTTTAAAAATAAAACTGCAAAATTTACCATGCATTCATTACATGTTTGCATATTTTTTTTATCATGCATGTAAGACTATTAAATAAACTATTTCATCATTTCACAAGAGATATGAAAAAAATTTTTGTTATCAAATTAATAAATTATGAAAATATTCAGATACGAAATTTTGAAGTAACATTATTACATAAGGCTTTATATACTATAAGTATAACAACTGGAAACTGTAGCAACAGATACTAAAACACTCAAATAAACCATTAATTGTAACAAAATCTTAATGTTTTGGCTGTATTTTTAACAATTTTCCTCAGATAGAACATAAAGTCAAATGCAAGTTAGATAAAACAGTTAACTTCATATAAGTATCTTTTGACTGATTTCATGATCATAAATTTGAGTAATCCTGTATTTAGGAAAGAAAGCATAATTTTATTATGTGAAAATATGAAAATAATGACCAATATTTTTACACTTGTCACTCTTAATGATGAATTTCGATTTGAATTAGTCTTTTTCAAGTGAAAGTATAAATTGTCTTTTCTAGTTATTTTATTGTATTCAGACACTCAAGAAGCCTTTGTAAGCAGCAAAAACAATTTTTAATTACAAATGTTTTTGGTCGTATTGCATCCTGTCGTTGACATATGACTGTGACAGGATGCAAGAATTTAATTACATCAGATCATTTGTGCAAAGTTTTGGCTTTAAATCTAATTCAGGCCTTTCTTGTTGGAACTAAAGAACAACTAAAATGATTCTTAAAGGACTGACTACACAGTGGTTGAATATATGAAACCCCATCACAACATCTATAAGGAAATCAGTAAAACCACTGGCTGAAGGATTCTATACAAAAGGAATCCTATAACCTATAAGCTTCTCTGTAATGATAAAGATCTCCAACCCCAACCACATTCCATGTGGATGAGATAGTAGCACATGACACAGTATATAGGAGCCACCTTAAGATCTTTGTGTGCAAGACTGAAAGAATGTAAGTTGTAAGTGTGCATTCAGAAGTCTGACCCAATCACAGCCCTTGCTGCCTATGTGTGAAAATTATTAAAAGTATTAGAATTAGACATCACATGTGTTAAGTGGAGGTTCTATACAGTCAAACCTTGGATTTCGAACACATCTGATTACTAACAATTTGATTTACAAACAAAATTTTGAATGCCATATTTGTCCTGGTTGCCAAACAATCTACTCAACAAGAGCGGTCCACAGACAATTAATCCCTGTACTACTTGTGTTAAAGAAAGCCGACGGCCCGACCAATCAGTGATGGGACTACTGATTCAGAAGTTAATGGCGCCGAGATTGCCTGGTGTCATTAGACACTGGGATACAAACCATCGATGATGTAGTTATTCAAATTATATTTCAATGCATGTGCAAGTAAGACAGTATTTCTGACTTTCTGTACATGTCATAATTGAATTTAAATCAAATTAATAAAAAAACTGCATTAATTGACATTTGCATAATATAAATGCATTGTGTTTAAATGTGCTTAACTCAAATTAAATAACAAATGTTTTAATGTAATATCATATATTATAATGTTAAATAAGTAATATTTATTAATACTAGGTAACCAGTTAATTAAAATTAAAAATAATAAAAACTTGGGCCTTTACACTGAAACTGAAATTAAAAATAAAATCAAACTTAATTAATTAAAATTTAAATTTAAATCAATGCAATTGAAACATAATATTTTGGAAATTGTGACTAAAGTACTTGTTGTGTGTCTTGATTGATTTGGTTATATTTTGTCCAGGCAGAGTTGAGTCTCCATTGGTTGACAGTAGGGTTTCTCATTTCCCGGTCTTTTNTGTATTATATTGTATTAATAAACAAAATTATTTGCATATTTTTCACTTATGTAGAACCTAACCCTATACCTCAGGGTAAATATGGGTTCATTTTATGCTGATACGATTTGCGCCGGCTTTTGTAAGAATGGAACTGAGGTGTAAACCGAGGGCTACCTGTATATTTATAATGGATGTAGATATAGATAATATATTTCATTTATAGGAATTTTTATGCATGAAATACAGGTAAAAGGGTTTAAAAAAGATTTCATTTTGGGGGGTTTGGAACAGATTAATCCATATTACATTGTTTCTTACAGGAAAATTTGTTTCGGTTTGAGAACAACTTTTAGGAACAAATTAAGTTTTAAAACTGAGGTTTGACTGTACGTGAAACAGTCATTTCTATCAAATTAAGGATCAATGCCTTTTCAGTGGCTATGGAAGACCTGCTATGACTTGCTTATCCCATATGATATGGGATAAGCAAGTCATAGCAGGTCCTCCATAGCCTTCTCCCTCCATCTGTGGGGTACTCATCTTTATTTGCCATTTATTTTATTATTGTTATCATAATTTTTAATGTGTTTTTGTATTTATTTATTTTATGGTCTTTAAAGGACTGAAAACATTTGTAATTAAATTGGTTTTTGCTGCTTACAAAGATTTCTTGAGTTTCTGAATATACACAGTTGCAGTTTCTATTTCTTATTATATTTGAATACATTCATATATGAACTTTAAAATGAGCAATTATTTATTGTGACATTATCACAATGCTGGGCTGCAATTTTTTATCATATTTTTAATTTATTTAATTTTATAATATATTCTCTTCACCTCAAATTAGTACTGTTGTGTCTTGCTCCTGTACAGTACATCATACTTTCCATTTACAATGGAGTTGTGCCAGTCACATACCTAATTCCTTTTAGGGAGAAATTTTGAATTGTTTCATTTATCTAACACTGTTCTTGAGATTAAGAAGACAGACAGACAACAGTGGGAATTTATAGGTGTACAATTTTTTTCAAATTGCAGCCCAACTAGCTAGGAGACTATTCCTTTTATGTATTTTTATGCCCTGGAAGTTCTACTACTACAGTTTAAGTCAAGGAATATCTATATTGACAAAATTACAAATTTTTATATTATTAAAGTAATAATAGTGAAATTATAAGAACATTATAATATATATAAGACAATACAATGAATTTACTGCTAATAGATCATTTAATCTTTAGGATAGATGAAAGAAATCAGATTAAATTAGAAAATTGAAACAAATTTTTATTGTAACTATTGTCCACAAATCATTTAACATTATTTTTGACAAATTTTAATGCAGTTAAATTGTTATTTATATCAAGGAATTTATTTCCAACATTCAAATTCTAGTCTGTTTTGGATATATTTGATACCTTTGAAAAATTTGTTAGCTAATTTTCAAATATTTATGTAAATGCTGTTATATTTTGCTGAATCTAATGAGTGAATTTGTTATAAATTACATTAACTAGTCTTATTTAAAGTTATTTTGATTTACTTTTACAAAGTTTGCATTTTTGTGCAGTGCAAATTAAATATTATATAGAAGTGAGATAATTCAGTATTGTAGAAATTATATTAGTGTAAGCTCATGCTTATGGTTGGTTCCTCTATAACATACACCAAATTGTAAGACAAACAGTACTGTACAAATATGACTGTGATCATGATGTAATTTAATTTTCTTCAGATTAATTTGAAAAATTTATAGTATTTAATAGTGTTTTTCTACACAGCAACTAATTTGTGTTGTGTGGCCTTACAAAGTTCGGCACTCATCTAATTAGGGAAGATCCAAATGAGAACCTGCCTCACTGCATTTATTTTTAAATGTTATAAATAACCTTGATTTGTATCACTATTCTTGGATCATTGTGTAAGAACAAATTTCAATATAATGTATACAAATAGTATTTATTTAATGTAAAAACTTACATTATATAAATTAATTATTTTAGCATATGTTAACCTTACAAAATATCTCTAGATAAATACAATAAATCTTAGTAATTCATACGTTTGCTAGTTTGATACATTCAACAATCTGACACTAAATGAAAACAGTTATCTTTAGAAAATATCTGACAGTTGACTAGTCAACTTGTCAACACTCAGGTGTTGCTATCATTGTTGCCAATTCCCACTAGCTCAAAATTTAATTCCCACTAAATTTAGTGGAAATCCACCAACTTGGCAATGCAATTTCTGATAATGGCTGTGCACTCAGATGACAAAATGGCAAAAAACAATTGAAAATTATATTAAAAGGATTGAGGATTAATTTGAGAACTCTAAAATACACTAAAACATGATCTGTAAATGTTTTTGATTAATACAGTGTTACAAATACAAATGAACAAATGTTTTCCTTCCTAATGATTAAACCATAGAATTTACCCTTACTTCCAATAATCCAACACTCTTCCAGTTTGTATATATCTAATTACCAAGGTTGTACAATAGTAATTCTACCAAGCTTCCTAAATTTTATACCAAAAACAATTTGTCATACGAAACTGCTATTTATATACTATCAAGTGAAACAATATGAAGTGATCTTTTCATTCAGGTTTTAAATTAATTTTTTCTATCAGTTGTTTTAATTATGTTACATATGTATGAAATGATTAAGAAAAAGTTTGATAAGAATCAAAGTATTTGGCACGAATTCAGTTCGCGTAAATTTTCTTACTATTGATTATTGAATAGATTAACTTTCTGATACCTTTTTATTATATTTGTAATCTTTTGGAATAGATTACTGTTGAAAAATAAGTTATTTCTTAAAAAAGTAAATCTCTAAGATATAATTAAAACTCAAAATAAAATTTTCAGTTACTGATGAAAAATTTGAGGTATTTGATTTTCATTATTAAAGAAGTCACATAATTTATTTATCTGTACCGATAAGAGTAATTTTATTTGATTTCCAGGTTTTGAGTGTCGTTGTGGCGGCCTCTTCTGTAGTGCTCACAGATATTCTGACGAACATAACTGTACGTTTGATTATAAAGGAATGGGTGCCCAGGAAATTAGGAAAAATAATCCCGTGGTCATTGGGAAAAAGGTTCAGAAGATATGAAGATTTGATTTGTTAGTATAACCATATTTGGATTGTGGAAAACTGCAAAAATTTTCCCTCGGTAAGAATGACTCTCGTCGTAAAATTGTCATCAGAGATGGAACCAAATAGGAGCAAAATTTAAAGAGAGATAATTTTACAAACGATTATAGTTACAACTCTTAGCCAATAATTAAAATCAGCTTGATTTATAACTTTTGTTAAACTTTGAAAATACATAATAATCATATGCACACTAATCCAGGCAAGGTATATTATTTTTGTCAAAGTTTTAATTGTGATTTTATAGTTTATTTTGGATTGCAGAGTCTCTTGGGAACGAAAGCTGACAACACGAGTTTTACATTCTCAGCACGCATACCATCCAAATTATTAAATAAATTCTTATAGGATAAGAGTTTCAAGCTTTATAAATTAGTTTGAAAAATAGATTTAAAAAAAAATATGAAAAAGTAAATGAGAGATGTATTTTTGTCAATTATCTTCTAAATATTTGATATTTAATAGAGAGCACGAAATGCCCAAACGGTCACTACTCCATAATAACTCTATTCCTTCTACGTCAATTTGTTTTTTAGTAATTATTGTCTCTGCTCGACTTCAACCATCTTTTGATGGGAGACAGGCCGAAGCATTTCAGTCTATTTTAAGATTTCGTGTAAAGATTTAGCTTATAGTTTACAAGATGGTAGCTTTAGGAAGACAGCTGTTGCTGCCATTTCTTTACTTCAATTATATTGGGACTCTAAATAAATAATTTTTGATTTTTTTTTTTTGTCAATAAATAGAGGCTTGGAATCGAGTAAAGTATTTTGAGAGTATTATGAATACCAAAAGTTAACCAATGAGTGTAAAATGCTTGACTTTTTTTGTCTGGTAACAGGAATGTCAGATAGTTGTGCAAGTGTACCATATTTTTTCTTGTAAAAAAAAATAAAATTTCAACCAATAACCTTAGTTTTTGTTTATTCATTCAAACAAATCATTCAATTAATAATAAATACTTAAACTTTTTCCTTATGTGCATGTGCACAGTGTGTGCATGCAAACTTTTGACATTTGGATGTAGTATGCCTTATTTAACATTTCAGAACATTAACAAATCAGAAATTTGAAGACAAAGGAGATATGTAAGAATAACATTACATGGTGAAAGAGAACCAAAAGGGGATATAGAATGAGAAAAGTACATTTAGAGTGGTTTGGACATGTAAAAGGAATTGGTTTGGAAACAATCTCAGAAGACAACACACAGAAAATAAGTGGGCAGTGTACCAGAGTAATGCCAAGATTAGGTTAAATGGATAAAATGAGATTTGCAGATAGTCCACAAAGATATTTGGGAAAACAGAAAATGACTGTTGGTCAAATTAATTAAAGCATTCTAATTATTCCGTTATTCAAGTTCAAAACATTTTACAGCATGCAACATGGTCTTGAATATATATACAGTATTTCCCATTTTATTGTGTTTGAACATTGCATAATTATTGAAACAAACTATTGCACAAAACGTTAGATTTATCACATTGATCTACGTTTTCGTGGGGATGTGTAGTAGTTGATAAATATGAACATTAACAATACTGGAAATTCTGTGATCATAGATTTTGATAGTCACACTTCTTTCTCTGGAATCTTGATACCAAACAAATCATTTGAACATGGTTACTCACCAGCAACACTTTCTTACAGAAAGTAATGCTCTTCTTCTTTTGTTGCTGGTGCTCGATGTGTCTCAAGATAAACAAAGTCCTGGGCTTTCTGTAGATATTTTCGACATATTAAAATATTATTTAAATATTGAATACTTGTCACATTAATTGTAAATACAGTAATCTTTACAGAATTTTGAAATAATTATAAATTATAATGCTTTTTACAGAAATACTGTATATTTTTATTTAATATGGTGAAAAAAATGATGCCCAGTTGAGTATTAAGGGATTGTACTTATTTACATATACTTGATAATGTATTTATAAAAATTCAATAGATAGTTGGTTGATTTGAATCAACAATGGACTTTGCTTACAATCTCTTATTATATTAATAAACTGCATTGTTTTTCAAGTTTACTAAAGTATTACCATTTTGTATTGAACGTAAATAGACATTACAAATATAAAATTGTATTGTGGAAACAGATTTAGCCACGAGGAGTAGTTTTTTTCATTAACGCACTTCTGGCTCCCACTGTGCTTTTAGGAGTTTAAAAGTAAAGGGCATAAAACAGTCACAAGCAATTGATTGCTGGATGAAACAGAAAACACGCATTCAAGCTTAAATACTAGGCTATACAAACAGCCACAAGGTGTAAACAACAAAATTTAATACTTGCTCTTTGTTCATCCTTTATTATTATTTTCAATGAATGTTGGTGTGTATCACTAGTTTGCATATGACATGTAAGGAACTGACATAAGTTATCAATATGACAGCTTGCGTAGTAATGTTGAAACAGGAAGTCCACGTGTAATTTTGAGCCTGCGTAATAACTACTTGAACAATAATTTCATGTACAGTACGTGACGGATACGTGAAAGCAAATTTAGTTTCTTTAATGTATTTTAATGTGTTAGTTTAATGGTTCATTACTGGAATGCTGAGAGTGGGGCTGCACATACTCGTCCGGGTTGCCCTTTTCCTAATTCTCGGGCCCTCCAAATTTCGCTATCAACAAACAACAGAAAACTCTACTAATCTCGTGTCTATTCTGCACATGTAAAAGAAGCTAATGAATAGTATTGCCACCTTTTCAAAATCGCTGACCCGGACGGTAGGTTAGGTTTGTTCGAACAGAAGTTCCTGACGCATGCGCAATGTCATTTTACAATGGGAAGAATAACGTGCATGCCAGTTCTAAATCAGCTACAGTTAAGGACTAGAGACTTGCGTAGGAGTAACGTAAGTAACCTAAATTAAGAAAGAACAGGTACAGATAACTTAGTTCTATTTGAGACGTGTACGATCGTACTGTACTGTACATGCCAAAAAAAGATCAACAGGTTGCGCGCCACACGTCGGCGTAAAAAGACTAACATCGCAGAATTGCAGGCGAGTTTCAGTGAGTGAGAGAGAGTTCTTTCGCTGTTAAAATAGTGTAAATTTGTAAAAATATTTGTAAGAGCTTTGTTTTATCGTAATTTCACAATTTCTACGAAATTCTGGACAAAATTAATAGTTCACCCGGACAGCGAGTCAATTCCCGGACTGTCCGGGTGGTAACACTACTAATGAACGATATTTGTCTATTGTTCCATTTAACATATACTTTTGTTCGTTGTATGTTGACTAAAACCAACGAGCTAGAATATAATAATAGGATCTAAAGATAACAGCTAGAATATACTACATAGTGGCTGTAGCGACGCCATGTTTAAAGAAAATCGAATACGCGGCCATCATTTTCCTTTTAGTCAAGGATCATGCCATTTGTGTTGTGTAAAGACAACGAACTAGAATATTCTAACTCGTGTAAAAGTGTGCAAAGGAAAAAATGCAGTTTTAACTGATATGATGCCAGTCAAAATGACTAAGTTTTTTTTTCTTTCTATTTCAATTTTGAAAGTAAATAGGTTGCGGCTGACGTTTTCAACGCGAAAACGTGTACGTCGGACGTTCAGCGCCGCTTTCCTGTAAGCCTAGAAGTTTGGCAATGGTGTTTGGGACGTCGAGCATGATTCCACTGACTATCCAAACACCATTGTCAAACTTCTAGGCTTATAGGAAAGCGGCGCTGAACGTCCGACGTACACGTTTTCGCGTTGAAAACGTCGGCCGCAACCTCTCTAATAAGACATTTCTTTAACCCTTTATTTAAACGTTTCTAAACAAGACAAAATATTCTGTAGCTTTAAGTTAAATACAATTCTAAACATTCTTAATTTTACATTCTCGGCTGTTATGTATACGTAACAAGGGAAATCATTGGAATCGTGTCAAATTTAACCCTTTAAGTTTTTTGCAAATCTCCACGTTTTGAGACCTGAACCCGAAAAAATATTCCATGTGTGTGTTGCCGTCTGTAAGTAACGAAATTTGGTATGGTAGCTTGTGTATAAGGAGCATTGATGCTATTAAATTTTGATGGTTAAAGGGGTGTCGTGTCATATCTGGAGAGAGGTCGGACTTAATGAGGATGATGATCGGTATTAACATTTACAGTTTTTATGAAACTTATCACTACCCTCAAAATCTGCCATTCGATAATAATAAAAAATATAATAAGTTATAAGTAAAGGTTCCTTCATAACAAACTTGACTTAGATGAGACAAATAGATTCTAAAATGACACTCACGGCCAACACGTGGTACAGACTTCGATATTTTGACTCAACATGGAGGTTGATAGTACCCGTCGTTGCCACTCTAGTATATTCTAGCTGAGCAAAACCAAGTTTCTTGTTTTTTGAGGCTAGTTAGCCCCGAGTGCAACCAATGCCATCTTGTGGGAGTGCTAATCCGACGTTGAATCAAAGTTTGAATAATATACGATGCCCTTTTTTCATAGCTTGTTCTCCCTTTGTATATAGCCTGCGGGCGTCGCTGGCTTGAGAGTATATCGTTCAGTGACCTTTGTATATTACTCTTCAGCTTCCTTCCTGATCATTGATGTGTTCTACTCTTGATAACTAGTGTGATGTTGCCACTTCTGAATCCAGCACCTTACATTTTTTCCCTTTATCGTATGAATATTCCTTTTATTTAATGAAACACAAGTTAATAACGTGACAGAAATTTTATCGGTGGCTTTAAAACTTTCCCACTGTAGTTCTGTGTTCGTTCTCTTACTGGAGCACTTGTGTTGGGAACTTCATTGTTAGCACTTTATTCCAAGGCATCATCCTGATCATTCTAGTCACTGTTCAATGGGACAGTCTATTTCGATTGTTTTGTCTAAATATCCGTTCTGTGTCTGTCTGAATAATATAAGATATCAGTGTTTGCTTTTCAGGTTGTTATTGTTGGTTCTCCGGACATCATTTTTGATCACTACTCGATCCCCAACTTTGAACTCTCTGTTGAGCACTCACACTGCTAACGTACCGATCTGGGAGCCGTATTGTATGGAAGTGCATCACTCGAGAGACATTGACGGCAAAGCAATATGGAGCGATAAAAGCATCACATTCCGAATAATAAAGAGGCCTAAATAAATTCGTTATCAATGATCAGTTTTGATGATAATGTTTTTAATTCATATACTATAATTTTAATGAAATATTCAGATGTACAAACAGCAATTGTTAATATACAGTACAATATAAAAATAATGTAAATATTTTTAAAGAAACAATGGAATACATTTAATTATTTTCCTTCAGATGGCAGCACATACAAAACTACGATTCGAAAAGCTAATTATGTAATGTTATTTCACACTACTAAAGAAAATAAATTGAAAAAGAAAAAGTTAAGTAATAAATATATAATTTAAAAATGGATTTCTTATTGTGTTAAATATATTTACCTCCTTAATAAGTTCGTTTTTCTGACTTTTTATCTAATTGGCTTATTTGAAGTTTAAATTAACGGAAACGTGTATTATTGGCTTATTTAAATTCAAATGAACCAATAATCGAAATATTTTTTTTTCTAAAAATTTCTTGCATATTTAGGCATCTTTGTTCTTTGATATTTGGCGATCTGGTTTAAAATTATAACTTAAATTTTAAAAATGATGTCATCGTTAATATATATTTTATAAATAAAAGACNTTTGGCAATGAGGTGTGGTTAAAGTAAAATTAGCATTTTTAATAAAAATACATGGCGCTATCTATTGTTGGAATTGAAATATCTTAAATAACATTGAAAAAATTATGTAAAAAATTAATATTTATTAGTAACCTTAAAATGTATATTTTATTATTACTAAATCCTTACAGAAAATAATTAAAAATAAATTTCAATGTTAACAGATTTAAATGAAAATAGAAAAAAACATTTAAAATATAATTTAAAAATCTCTCACTAGATGACACTAAAATCGATTAGTCTTATACCTAATCGAAATTCGTAGTCGCTTATCTTGTACCCCAACGTTTTTAATTTTTAAAAATTTTAAAATTGTCTGAAAAGCTTTATAAATCGCCCATAAAATTCAATTTTCGTTAATGGAATTTTCTTATATAACGTGTTACCATTAAGGCCGATTGCTTGGTTTATTGTATTCTGCAATGAGACACGTGGGCGATCTGCCGAAGGGGGAATGCCTTCCGGGAGACCTAAGGACCCTATTTAGGTGTTGTAAAAGTGAAGAAAACCCAGAAAACTCCACATTGGCCAGGCTTGACCCGACGACCGACTACCACTGGTGTGCTGTTTTTTTTTTAACTCTTTCCGCTCTGTGGCCACTAAGAGGTCTCTCTTTAGCAGGCCCATTATGGATTCGGCCGGGACGACCGGGTGGTGAGGGACGGGGCCCGACATATCCGAACGGACCATCCTCCGAAAAATTCCTGGGGCTTATTTGACCGTCCGAATTCGAGCCCGGGTCCCCAGAGCAGTAGTCTGCCATCTTAGCCGCTTGGCCATCCAGCCTCTCCACTGGTGGGCTAAGACTGATCGTAACGTCTTTGGTTACGCACGCGATCTGAAGCAGGTGGTATTAAAAAATGTAATGCTTTTTCTATGAAAAAACTTTCTACAGTTTAAAAAGTTGATAGAAAATTAACAAATTTCATAATCAGTATTCTGAAATAATAATATAGCAAACTGTATAAACGCAAAAAAAACTATGGTTCTGACTGCACCCGCTTTCCAGAATTTTTGGAAAAGTATTTCCATAGAAAAAGCATTAAATTATTAAGCCTATCTGCTGGAGACAGCATGCATAACCAAAGAGATTACAATCTGCCTTAAGCACTTACCTGAAGTTTTTAGTTTAGTCAAAGCAAACTGTTCCTTAAATTAATAAAGAAAATATGCAAATACTAACTTTGGATCCAAAATGGAGAAAAATGCCATGTTTGCATGAGCAAACTAAATTTGGATTAAATTTTGAAACTATGCAAGTCCTACATTTTTTTTTATTTTTATTTTTTTGGTGNAATGGAGAAAAATGCCATGTTTGCATGAGCAAACTTTCCCACTGTAGTTCTGTGTTCGTTCTCTTACTGGAGCACTTGTGTTGGGAACTTCATTGTTAGCACTTTATTCCAAGGCATCATCCTGATCATTCTAGTCACTGTTCAATGGGACAGTCTATTTCGATTGTTTTGTCTAAATATCCGTTCTGTGTCTGTCTGAATAATATAAGATATCAGTGTTTGCTTTTCAGGTTGTTATTGTTGGTTCTCCGGACATCATTTTTGATCACTACTCGATCCCCAACTTTGAACTCTCTGTTGAGCACTCACACTGCTAACGTACCGATCTGGGAGCCGTATTGTATGGAAGTGCATCACTCGAGAGACATTGACGGCAAAGCAATATGGAGCGATAAAAGCATCACATTCCGAATAATAAAGAGGCCTAAATAAATTCGTTATCAATGATCAGTTTTGATGATAATGTTTTTAATTCATATACTATAATTTTAATGAAATATTCAGATGTACAAACAGCAATTGTTAATATACAGTACAATATAAAAATAATGTAAATATTTTTAAAGAAACAATGGAATACATTTAATTATTTTCCTTCAGATGGCAGCACATACAAAACTACGATTCGAAAAGCTAATTATGTAATGTTATTTCACACTACTAAAGAAAATAAATTGAAAAAGAAAAAGTTAAGTAATAAATATATAATTTAAAAATGGATTTCTTATTGTGTTAAATATATTTACCTTCTTAATAAGTTCGTTTTTCTGACTTTTTATCTAATTGGCTTATTTGAAGTTTAAATTAACGGAAACGTGTATTATTGGCTTATTTAAATTCAAATGAACCAATAATCGAAATATTTTTTTTTCTAAAAATTTCTTGCATATTTAGGCATCTTTGTTCTTTGATATTTGGCGATCTGGTTTAAAATTATAACTTAAATTTTAAAAATGATGTCATCGTTAATATATATTTTATAAATAAAAGACTAGTAAATCCACAATGTGGAATTAAATNTAGTCAAAGCAAACTGTTCCTTAAATTAATAAAGAAAATATGCAAATACTAACTTTGGATCCAAAATGGAGAAAAATGCCATGTTTGCATGAGCAAACTAAATTTGGATTAAATTTTGAAACTATGCAAGTCCTACATTTTTTTTTATTTTTATTTTTTTGGTGGTCTTTGTTAAGGTTACACTTATTGTTTTATTTAAATAAAACGGCTTTTTTCATATACTCCAGTGTCAAAAGTAAGTGATTATTCTGAATAATATCAAATTTATTCTACCTACATGGTCCAACGCGGTATTCATCTCTTGTTTTTCCATCTTTGACTTCTATGACAGTTTGTAAACGCTATGGCATCGAATCTATCAGGTCCAGTAGACTTGCAGGATTTTCTTCTTCGATTTTAGGATACTTTGATCCAGTTTGTCTGAAAGATGTTTGATGGGATTTAAATCCGGACTATGGGGTGGTCAGGTTGGGCACTTCAAACCCCTGGGAAGCCAAGAAATGCTTGACAAGCGGGTTAGTGGAGGCTCCACACCGAATGATGCGGAATTCTCGTGACGTTGTGCATCGTGGCTATCCGGAACCATGTAAATTTTGGAAGGTGCAGAATTTCTCCATCTTTATAACCTTGCGAACGTCTTTGAAGGAAAAATTCCTTTTTCTTGCCATTGCTCTGATGATTTTCCCAGCACCATAATCACTAACAAGAAGTTCTCCAAATTCCGGCATTTTATGGCTGAATTATTTTTCCCAAACTTGCTCAACACGGCGTAGCTCGAAACTTACTGAAATTTCGCCTATGTGCTCTCTAGCAATGTTAGAATGACCTTGACTGATCAGGTTTATTCTTTCTCGAATTTGCATGACGATTTATGGATGTGACTTCTTACTTTTCAACACGTCGTTTTGACTCACTCAGGCATTGTTTACTAAATTTTGAAATTATTATTTGTCAAAAACTAATATAATTGATATTTCAGTGTTCCAGGTATTTGCATAGTTGCACATACCACTGTTGGTAAGTTTTCGTGGTGGGTAGCACATAAACCCGGTATTTAGTGTTATTATTTGGCATTATTTCACCTGACCACTTATTTTTGACTGCCTCTGTATATATGAATAGAAGTATCATATCCGTCGTGTTAGACGGCCGGATGCCCCGAGCGGTTACTGCTCTGGGGTATCTGGGATCGAATCTGAACGGGTTAAAAACCCCAGGAAATTTTCGAGGATAATTTGTCTAGATATATTGGGCCCTGTCCCTCACCATCCGGCCGTCCCATTGTGGGTTTGGCAATGAGGTGTGGTTAAATCAATTTTAAATAATATAGGCCCAATTGCATAGTTCTGTAACAAACCGGTATTTTGGGAGGATTGAATTTGTTTTTTTTATACACGATATGCAGAACACGACATATTACGATAGCAAGAACACGACACATTACGGTGTTTTTATTGTTGTTTATAGTTTTATTTAAATCACACTCTAAGAATTACTAATTACACGGTTGCATAGATTTGCTTATTTGCATAAACTGTCTGTTCATAACCGGAAGCCAGTAAGGCTTGAGGTTTTATAATTACAGTAGCTGCAACAGTTAGCGGAAACAATTTCAGATTTTGCTACAGTCTAATCACTAGATATTTCACATATTTATGCATAAATTACAAGCAACTATA